ATATACTTCCCTGGAGTACACGAGTACATGAGGAACAGGTAAAATTAAACTTCTAGAAATGATGGTGTGTGTGCGCATACAGAAAGAGACACATCCTGCTCTTCTTTACACTATTATAGGTTGGGAGTAAATGCACAGAATTTAATGTAATTGTTACTGTAAGAATAGGCAAAAGTCCCCATGTTCTGAGAGTGTTATAGGTAGCTAGTGGAAAATAGCTGTTGTGCTTATGTAGATCATAAAGCTCATTAGTGGTTTCACTGAAGGACTTATCTTTAAATCAACTCTTCATACTGAATTCTCAGTCAGTTGATAGGGAACTACTGGGAATACTTGGCTTTAATCTCAAATCTCAGAAAAATCGATAATAATCTCAAATATACAACAGCAACACTTCCTCTTGTTCTGTCATGAGTTTCATGTGGATTTTTTGATAAAAGCCCTGGAAATTAGATCTTTTGCTTAAGCCAACAACAGGAAAAACACAAACAGAAACCATGTGAGCATCTCAGATGCCCTTCTATCAGCCTGCAGCCACTCTGGGGTAATGCATCTGTCAAGCTAACAGTGAATGCTCTGTCTCAGCACGTGCTTGCTATCACACAACAGTGCACCTGGAGCCTATTCTCCTCCTTCAGCTTATTCGTGCCTGGATATGTTAGCCATGAAGCCAGCAGCAAGAGTGTTAGGGATAAATGGGAAGAAAAGGCCTTTCTCTTCTCCTTCCTTAACATAGAACAGTAACAGCCTGCAATATGAGATAGGGCAGATGTGGGAGGAAAGTGTTTTTTTCACTTCCTCTCTCTCCACCTCTAGTGGAGCTCTGATCTCCTGTAGCACTTCTCTGTAGAGCGACCTTGTGCTCTATGCATCAGCAAGACGCTGTGGGTCATTTTGGTAGCAGGTTGCTGCGTGCACTCCTTCCTTCTCCCTGGCCTTATGTCTTTTCTCACCATCGTGGTTGTCACTTTATCTTGAAGCCCGTTTTCTCAGGGACACTGGTTTCAGGATGTGCTTGATGTGTTTTACCCCTCCCACTAGCTCCTGCTCTTATAACCTACTGTACGAGCCAACTGAACAGTTCTAGCTACTTTTGTTCAGGAATATGATTTAAGGACGTAATTTGAATTTCAGCCACCAGAGGTCCTCCACAGTTTACTGCTTCCCTGCAGTTTCCTCTGATCTTTACTGGGATCAATACAGCCGTGCTTGCTTTCACCCCAAATCTACAGATCCCTCCTAGCTGAGGATCTGCTCAAATCCCCTGCCACGTCATCTCTCATATCCTTGGAATCCATATCGGAGATTACTGTCTTATACTGCTTAAACCCAACAGCACCTTCCCCATGTTTCCCCGTCAGGTTTGGATTCCCCTTTCAGGTGTAAGTCTTTGGGGTGCTCACAGCTGAGCTGACAGCAGGGCTGGGAACACAGAAGTGATTTCTGCTCGTGCTGTGCTGTCCCTCAGACTCTGGGCCAGAGGGTCAGGGTGAGGGAAAGCTGGAAAACTGCTTGTGTCATTTCACATGTACATCTTGAACAATCCACAACGTGGTTTTAAAAATTGGTGCCTGAGTTACAGCTATACTGCTTCTGGAGAAAAGCAGATTCATAAATCCTTTCCCACAGGGCAAACACCAAGCTGACACATCCATTAAGCAGAGTTTACATCAAAAATTCTCTAACTTTTGCAGAGGAAGGCTTGAAGAGGAATTTGGCAAACAGCCCACAAAATTTTAATCTGTAAAATAAATAGCTGTCACTTAGCACAGTGTTTTCTTTCACCTCATATAACCTGGGCTCGGAGTCCCAGCCTCCTCCTGCCGATGAAACACCCTGCAGACGTCGCCAAGCCCACGCCAGGCCAGCAGTTCTTTTCCCCTTCCCAAAGCAACGGTGATCTCAGCTTCAGCCGCTGGGGGGAACATTAGGCTTTGCCGTGAAGGGCCCGTGCATCAGGCAGGGTCTCCTTACACCAGACCAGCTTTCAGGGTCAGATATCTGCCTTCTTATCCTTAAGAAGGACCTTCCCATATGAAAGCTGACCCATCTTTTACTTTTTTTTTTTTTTTTTTTTTTTTTTTTAATTTTGTTTTAGTTTATTTGTTTCCCTTATTACACCAGTTGGTCCTGAAAGAGACATTATAACTTGGTATAAACGTTATCTCACTTGTATCTGTTGCATCCAAAAGCAACATGTGAATCACAGCTTTCAACTACTTTTGAGGTCTTCTTAGGCCCACGCTGCATTGAAAGATGTGGTGTTTTCCAGCTGTTGAGCTCCATGCCATCGATAAGGTCTCATGTGGGCAGTATTTTATTGAGTAGGCCAAACTAAACCCAAGGCTCTCCTCTAGCTCATATTTAAACTCTTTTCTATGTGAAACCCTTTAGATTTTCTACAAGTGTTCACAGCATCTTTTGTTGCTTTTGTATTGTCAAGGCTTAGGCACCCTATGGAAATGCAAACTAAAAGGAATAAGTAACATGTTAATGATAACAATGTTTAGAAAGTGGTTTCATGAAAACAAAGTAGTCTTTTCTTTTGCCAATATAAGTAAAGGCAGAAAGTTGTTTTTGTAGCAGGACGTGAAACTTGAAACCACAGCAGTAAGAATACCAATATGAATCAGTATGACTGAGATAGACAAATGTATTGCCCTGGAGATGGGAATGTGAGCGGGTGGTTAGAGAAGCAAGCAACAAATCAAACGCCCTTTTCCGCCCCTGACTCACTGCTTGTCTGCAGCCAACTCATTTGCCATCTGTATGTCAGTTCACACATCTGCAAAAGAGGGACACCTTTGTTATATTTTACCAGATTTAGCTCTTGCCAAGCATCACTAGTGAACGCTGACAGCCCTTTGTTGTCAGGATCGCAGCATTTCACAGGTGGAAAATACAATTTCTCACCACTTCTCCCATCAGGACACAATCACTTTTCCTAAAGCTTGTGCAGCTGTGAGTTAATGCAGCACCACCTGACAGACCAAAGAGTCTTTCCTAGTCTCCTGCTAGTGCTGAAAGACTTCAAATTAAATCTCACCTAAACCTCAGAGATCAGCAGCTCTCTAACGCTGACATGTTACAAAAGCAGCTAACTAACCAGATCTAATCCTATCTAACCAATTGCTACTAATTGATATTATTAAAATGTCATTTTCCTATTTTTATTCATAGAATCATTGAGTTGGGCCCTTAAAGGCTGCTTAGTCCAACTCCCCTGCAGTGAACAGGGACACCTACAGCTAGATCGGAGTGCTCAGAGCCCGGTCCAATATATCAGTTGATTAAAATGAAATGTGTTGCAAGTATTTCATGTTTATTAGTTGAAAATAAATCCTTTAAAAATATGTTTTATAACTGTAAAGTTGACTCAGCCCTACATGGAGTGAGTCTCATTACAGTCACAAGAGGTAAGGTTTCCTAAATAAGGAATCCACTTGAATCCGGTTCCCTGATCATAGACCTGGCATAATCCTGTATCTGCAGAATCAGCAGTGGGCAGTGGCACAGACATGCTGGATGCTGAGCTGCCTTTCTGCCTGCAGAAGGGCTCCCTCCCTTCTCACCTCTGCCCTCTGCCCAAACTCGCTTTCCGTACTGCTTGCCAATGGGCAGCAGCTGTCATGGCTACAGAAATGAGCTCAGTGCATCCAACTTGTGCACGTGGAATCTTTCCCACCCATTTTAAACTGGCTACCTTGCTTTCTGTGGTATCTATAGATTCATCACTGTGACTCTTCTCATAAAGCCATCAGTTATAAAACTGCGCTTTCAGGTATGCCTTTCAGTATGTGGAGCCTAACCATATTTTAAGACTGCCTTTCTGCACTATGACACTTCAAGTGACTTACACAGTTTGTAATAAAAGTGGTGACTGCATTTTCTTCCAGAGAGAACTCAGACCAGCTCACGTCTGTTCCCTGTAGGACACCTGCTCCACACGCGCCGGGGAAACGCTGCACTGCCAACCATTCTCTCCTGCAAGTTTCTGGTAAGCATACCTAATCTGGGGGCAGCTGTTGCCCTGCCCAGCCCACTGCACCTGATTCTAGAAAGGTGTCCAAAGACACCGAGCTCGTGGGGCTCCCCATCTGCCAGTGACCGGCCATAGTGAGGTGGGCTGCTAGGCAGCACAACCACGGCCCTTCTGCTCCACCCATTGAGTTCCTGCCTGAGAGCCAGGCAAGAGACAGCAGATGGGAGAGACAGATGGAAGGGTGCAGGGAAACAATGAGACAAATGAGCAAAAACCGGGTTGAAGACTTTAGCGGTCGGTTCCCAAATCGTTAATTTTACTAATCATCTCGGCTGATGTAACCCTGAGGCAGGACGGCTCTCCTCTCCCCAGTGCCTACAGTCACGGCACGCTGTACTTCAGGCAGCGGGAGCTCAGCGGCCGAGCAGCGGCGAGGCGGGGCGGTATCTGGAGAAACTCATTTAGAGCAGGAGAGCGGGGCGCACCAGCACCCGGGGGTTGGGAGAGCCTCTTTAGCGCGGCAAGGCAGCAAAGCGCTGACAGACAGACACGCGGTTCAGGTTTTTTTTACGAGCACAGCGCCGCCCGGGACGTGGCCACGCGGCCGCACAGCTCGCCAGGCACGCCGTGCCACGCGCCTCGGCCGGGCACCCACCGCCCGCTACGACCCAGGAAGGCTCAGGCTCCGGGAAGGCGGTCGAAGCCGCCCGGCAGGGGCTCGGGCCGGGGCTCGTCCGCGCTGCGCAGCCGCCGTGCCCGGGGAGCGGGCGGCCGTTGGGGGGCGGCGGGCGCGAGGCGGCGGCCGTTGGAGCGAGCGGCGGCTCGTGCCGAGGTAAGGGCGGGAAGGCGGGCGGTGAGGCGGCCCCTGAGGTGGGGAGGCCGCCCGAGGGAAAGCGAAACCAAAAGGGCGGAGGCGGCGGCAGGGAAGGGGCGGGCGGGCCGGGGTTCCCCGCGGCGGGGCTCGGCTCGCTCCTCCCCTCGGCGCCGAGGCGGAGCGGGGCGGCGGCGGCGGCGGGCGGGAAGGCTCGGCGAGCCCCCATGGCCCTGGCGCCGGGGCAGCGGGCGCGGTAGCGGGCTGCGGGTGAGTCAGAGCCGCCCGGAGAGGGCGGGCTGGACATGAGCCGCGCCGCCGGGCTGCGAGCGGCGGCCGGAGGCTGAGCAACAAAGAAGTTTCCCCGGCGGCGCGGCGCGGCGCTCCCTCATGCACGCCCCCGGCCGCCATCCCTGGGGCTCTGCCCGGCGGGCGCCCGCCGCCGACCCCGGCGCGGAGCCCCGAGCGGCGCTGCACAGCAGCCCGGACCTCAGCCGGGCCACGCGGCTCAGCGTGGGGGAGCTGCGCTCCCTCTTCGAGGCGCGCTGCGCCGCCGTCGCCGCCGCCGCCGCCCGGCAGCTGCCCGACCCGGCCAAGCGGGGCTGCCGGCCCCCCAACGGCGTGCTGCCGCCCGTCATCCCGCGCCTCACCGTCACCGCCGAGGAGAGCGAGGAGTCGCAGGGCAGCCCCAAGGCGCCGCCGGCGCACCCGGAGGGCGGCTGGCTGAGGACGGACGGCTCGCTGCACCTGCAGTCCCGCAGGCTGTCCACCTCCTCGCTCTCCTCCACGGGCTCGTCGTCCCTCCTGGAGGACTCGGAGGACGACGTGCTGAGCGACACGGAGGGCAGGAGCCAGGGCATCGTGCACCTGGAGCGCGGCGACGACTCCAACCAGGTAGGGGGCGGCTCGCAGCCGGGGGGCCGGGACGCGCTGCCCGGGGGGCCGGGAGCTCCGTAACCGGGACCGACGGAGGAACTGCGACGACAGCAAGAAAGAAAGAAAAAGGGGGGAGGGAGGGAGGGAAGTAGACTCGTGCCGAACGGCGCTCGCCGTGCGGGGCTCGCCCACCAGTGCCGATCGCCTGGTTGGGGGCCATCGAGCATCCTCGTTTGGAAAGGCTGGTGGCCCAGCTGGGAGGGGGGAACTGCGCTCTTCTCCTTGCACACAAACTCTGGGAAACTCCTGCCAGGCGCTGCACGATGTGCGTTGCAGCTTCTGTTTTCAAAGCACTTCTTGATGGTGGCCCTTCTAAAACCCCATCAGGTGTGCTTGGTTTCCTGTGAAACTGTGCTTGCTGTCCCAATAATTTTGAGTAGTGTTTTTTTGCTCGTTGCTCGGGTCTTTTTGGTTGCTTTTTTTTTTTCTTTTTTTTTTTTTCCCCAGCCTCTTTTGTTAGATCTTCAAAATAACATTTTTCCTGGCATTTAGCAGCGGGGTTATTATTATTTTTCTTTTTGTCTCCTCCAGTCCTGGAGTCTGTGGCTGTCAGTTTTTGAGCTGCTTCTTGCTGTGAGCATGACAGGAGATGGGGAGGAGCTTGGAGTGGGTAGAATGCATGCTTTTGTCCATCCTGGCAGTAGCGCATTCTTCTCAGTAAATCCTCTCTGTAATTTGGCAGCTTTCATCCATGAAGTGCATTAAAAGCATTTACTTAGGGTTTTTTTCCCCCATGGCCATTAACATATATTTGCCTGACTGTCTGTAATGGGCTTCTTGGGGGTTTGTAAGTGAAATACATTGCTTTAGCAAATTCTTCCTCCTACCTTTACTGAGACTGTAACTTAAATTGTTGTTCGGCTGCCAGCCCACTGGCACTCTATTGTTCTCAAGCAGAACATATGTTTTGAAAAAAATACATAAGCAAGAAATAATGCGGGTTGTTCGCAGTACCTCCAGCTGGACCTTTCTCATGCTAATTGTGGGTTTACTACTTTAGAGGACACACAGTACAGGAACTAAAATGTTGTGCGCAATATTGGCTTTGTTTGCATCAACTTGGGGGGAAAAAAGTTTTGTACTTTGTCATGTTGTGTTCCAAGAAACCAGTAATGACGCTACTTAATTTGTACTTTCTATCCTGATATAGAAACTGGTGTGTGGAGGGAAACAATTGCCACTCTGTCACCATATGGCTTTCTTTTCTGAACTATGTGCTGTGCTAGCAGAGATTTTGTGGAAGTAGCATAAGAACAGAAATTAAAGATGGAAAAGAGCTGTTGGATCCTTTGACTCAACAACGCTGCTATTGCAGTGGGAGAGTGGGTGTGATAATGAGCTACGTGGAGGTAATCCTGGGCTGTATGCGTGGTAAATATGGAGCGAGAGTTTACTGGGAATGCTTAAACTATATGGAGAGCTCCGGGATGGCATTGTAGCATCTGTTTACTTGTCTATGCACATAAATTAAAGGAAGAACTGCTATTCAGGTGAGAAACTGAGCTGCTTTGAGGTTGCTTTTGAGTTTTGGAAATACTGAGATTGTATGTAATACCAAGTCCTAAATCATTCTTCTGTATCTTTCTCTGTAGTTCTACGTGAGCGCAGCTAAAGCATACGACATAAGTGGATGTGAATGGTATTAATTTAATCTGAATTATAGGAAGCGTCTAGGCACTGTGCAAAATTGGAAAAGGCTCTTTTCATCTTTTAATGGCAAGAAAAAGAAACTTTAAAAGTGAAAAAGGCCTTGTAGATCACTCATGAATGAATAAAAGTTGCCATATTAAGAAATATTTTAAACTGAAAGAATGTCCTCTTCATGTAGGTGTATGAGAAATTGAGACAATACCTTTAAAGATATTGTGAGAATTCAGTCTCATAAAAAGCTTCTTAGAAATTTCTGAAGTTCAGTGCAGCTTCAGTGTTCTTTAGTTTTTCAGTACTGAAGTATTCACACCTGGTAAAATGTCCTTAAGGGTCAAATTACTTTTCCACACCTGTAGGGATGATGGAATAAACTGCCCCACTAGCGACCTGCATTCCATGGACACCTGTGTCTCGTTACCAGTTGTGCAGCAGGTTGGCAAGCTGGGACTTGTACCTCGGGCTCTAGAGCTGCAGCACTAAGTATCCAAAACTTTGTGATGCTGCATAATAAATTAAGTGAGCTAAATCTTTAATCTGTTCGGTGTGTGCTGGTGTAGTTCATCCCTCCCTCCCTTGCCACAGTACCCTCTGAGAGCTTGGATTCCAGGAATCTGCCTTTTTTCTTCTTGTAATACACACCGTTCATCTCAAGTGGCTGCCCTGTGGGCTGGACATTCCTGCAGGTGACCAGAACACACTGGTTCTTGTGGCTGTTGTGTTTTGGTATTCTAAAACCTCCAGCCCTGTGTTCAGTTGTCCAGTCTCTAGAGTTACTGTTTCAGTAAAGAAACTGTGAGTAATTAACGTGCCAAGTGGAGTAACCTGCTTAGAACCTCTGCGGGTTTGGCTTTACAGGATGCATCTTTTTCTACTGTTAGTCCTGAGGAAGGATGAGTAGATCTGGTTGGTTGTTTTTTAAATGAAAGGCTTAGGACTCAAGGCAGGCATGTTCATATGAGAATAACTAGAAATTTTGGGATAACGAGGGATGTTTTTGTATTTTAAAGGTAAACTTGCATGTTTTATTCATGTCTATTGCTTTAGTATTATGTATTTTAACAGATGAAGGTTCATTTTCAGAGAGGAACACAGGTTAGAGACTATCTGCAGGAAATTGCAGTGGAAATGAGCCAGTTTTGGCGTTCCCCAGTTCATGGAGAACTGCGACACTTTGAAATTTTTCTTGTATTAGAATTTTCTCCAGTGTTTCTTTGGAAATGATGTAGAGCCTGACACCCTTTGATGTAGCTCAGATCAGGGCTCACAGGACTGCTGCTGAGCTATTGAGCCTACCAGAGTCCTCAGTGCTTCACAGGAACCTTGGAAACTTGCCCAGGTCTTTCAGCTGCAGGAGCAGAAGTTCTGATAGTGTTCCTGTTATCAGGGCTTCAAGGCTTCCATCTGAGGTCTGAGTTGAAGAAAGTCCTCCCAGGCTTCTCAGCTGAAGGCCTCTACTGTTGACCTGAAAGTTTATAATCAGGTGTATCTTCAAAATGTTGTGGGCCCTTGAGCTACCTGTACAGTCCCACGAGAAACACAGAAAACTGGCAAGCCTTGAATCCTGGGACAGCAAGCTTTGCAGTGCTTTTCCCGACTGTGCCTTGGAAGAATCTCTTCCTGGAAGCTTGCTGGGCAGACAAGGAGCTCTCCAAGAGTGTGAGTGACTCAGTTAAGCATTTCACAGAGTGTTCTGGCATGGATCAATTGGCACATCGTGACAGCATTACATTTTTGCATATTACTGAGTGCTGTGTATGGATATGTCCCTGGAATGCTATGGCCCTTGATGGAATAGTGAGTTCCTTGGGAATGATGTCTGACAATTACAGTGCAGTTCCAGCCTGGCTCTGTAGGGACTTACCTTTGTTTGTATCTAGAAGGCTGACATTTGAAAGTAAGTCAGCAGGTAGATGTTTTGCCACCTCATCACAAATTCCACACTTAATTTTGCAGTGATAGTGACTTTGGAAACTGAACTGCCCTGGCTCTCCTGAAGGAGGGCTTTTCTGATAGCAAAGGGTTAGAATTGTGAGAGAAGTGGTTCTGCTGTTATTGCATGAGCTGAGAAGTTACTATTCCTGCCTTCCTTTGAATTTAAATGGAAAGTGTGCTTTTCCTACCCTTGCTTCCCATAGTCTGGAAAGTTTATGTACGTAGTTGAATCTTTCAGAGAAAGCTCCATTGGTCCATTTGTAGCAATGAAGAGAATACAAGAGATGTATTTTTATCTTTATTGTGTGAGCGAGCAATTTTAAGAACTACCTTAAGTCTGGTTAGCACCTTCTCTGTTGGGACAGAGAGACTTTAAAGTGGCTTTCTCAGAGACGAAATTGCATGATGATGTACAGCAGTCTTTTCTCCTTTTCATTAGGATAGTGTTATTTCCTAGATAGAAGCATGCCAGGCGACTCTACTCATTCTCATAACTGTGACCTGTCATTGCAAATTCCTGCATCAGTAACCATGAGAACAGCTGACAGCTCACTAGAGAAAAAGCAATGCAGTTCTTGCCTGCAGTGATACCAGTTCAGAAACTTTGGGCAATAGCCATTACTTGGTTTTACCTATCTCCTCACTATTACTTTTGATAATAGTGAGCACTTTAAAATGAACAAACGTAGACACGTACACTTAATAAATACAGCCTGAAAGTTTCAAGTGTTTCAGCTGAGAGATGGGTTATGTAAGCTAATGCAGTAGAACAGAATTGTTATTTTTAAATGAAGAATGGGAATGAAGGGATGACATAAGTAAGACTGTTAATGGGTTTTTAGCCTACTTTCAAAGGAAAGAAAGATTGTGTAATCACTGTATCAATTTAATTTTAACAACTTAAATAGAATTCAGCTGACTTTGACAGTGCGGTAAGCATCCCAAAGTTTTCTTCATAAGTTCTGTAAAGTTCCATGAACGTCAGCCTCTGGGTGAACAATACAAGCCCCAGATAAGAGATGTGGAGGTGCGCTGGAGGGATTATGCACAAGTTTATGAAGCACAGTGCCAAGCTGTTATTAATTTGGGAAGGGTGCAGGGCAGTAGGCTAGTAGTTCAGTAGGCACCAGCCTCCGTTAATTTGCTAGTTGTGGAACAGCTAATTTTATCAGCATTTCAAGATATTTTTTAAAAATAATGATTTATGATAACAGACTTGCTTCTGACATCTTCTTGTTACATACTAAACAAATAGGAGTGGTTCTGTGTTGCTCTGTTATTGGGCCTCAACTCTGAACTGGGAGACCTCTCAATTCTAGGACAGCTTGTTCTCCACTGTACTCTCAAATGGTGCAATATATATACAAACATCAGCA